ACTGTCAGCTGATTTCTCAACAGAAACTTTGCAGGCCAGAAGGGAGTGGCAAGAAATATTCAAAGTGATGAATACCAAGAACCTACAACCAAGATTACTTTATCCAGCAAAGCTATCATTCAGAACGGAAGGTCAGATAAAGAGCTTCACAGATAAGGAAAAGCTAAAGGAGTTCATCACCACCAAACCAGTATTATATGAAATGCTGAAAGGTATCCTTTAAGAAGAGGAAGAAGAAGAAAAAGGTAAAGATACAAATTATGAACAACAAATATGCATCTATCAACAAGTGAATCTAAGAATCAAGTGAATAAATAATCTGGTGATCATAATAGAATCAGGGACATAGAAAGGGAATGGACTGACTATTCTTGGGGGGGAAAGGGGTGTGGGAGATGCAGAAAGAGACTGGACAAAAATCGTGCACCTATGGAAGAGGACAGTGGGTGGGGAGTGAGGGCGGAGGATGGTGCGGGAACTGGGAGGAGGGGAGTTATGGGGGGAAAAAAGAGGAACAAATGTAATAATCTGAACAATAAAGATTTAATTTAAAAAAAAGAGATTATGAAGAAAAAAAGCAAATATTTAATGTTTTATTAAAAAAAAAAAAAGAACACACTGGATATAATGTTAGCTATGGACTTTTCATATATGTCCTTTATTATGTTTCAATATGTTTCTTCTATGCCTAATTCATTAAGAGTTCTTTTTTTTAATATATTTTATTGATTTTTTACAGAGAGGAAGGGAGAGAGATAGAGAGTTAGAAACATCGATGAGAGAGAAACATCGATCAGCTGCCTCCTGCACACCCCCTACTGGGGATGTGCCCGCAACCCAGGTACATGCCCTTGACCGGAATCGAACCTGGGACCTTTCAGTCCGCAGGCCGACGCTCTATCCACTGAGCCAAACCGGTTTCGGCCATTAAGAGTTCTTATCACAAATGGATGTTGAAATCTCTTGCATGCTTTTTCTGCATCTATTGAGATGATTATATGATTTTTCCCCCTTCATTCTGTTAATGTTATATAATGTGATGTATCACATTGATTTGCATATGTTGAACCATCCTTGCATAAGGGTATGCATTTTAAATATTGGTCATTTTTTGCAGGGTTCACAGGGAGAGAAGATTTAGGCTAAAATGTGTGAGTTACTTCGCATTGCATAACCTTCAAGTAGGAAAGCAGATATCTTAAAATTGAGGACATACCATCCCAGGAAGGATTGTGGATGCCATAGAAAGATTAAGATTTGATTTGCTTCAAATCAATATAGTAGAGACTAGATCAGCCAGCTTCTGTCACAGAACTGTGTTGGCTCCATCCTCCTGGAGTCATAGACCCTCAGAGGCCCAAGGCTCTGTGAAGAAAGGCACTTGATAAAAGGGCTTTGGGGTCTGTAATCCTGAGTTAAATTCTTGAGTTTGCTACTTTCTAGTTTTGCACTTTCTTGTACTTAATGTTGAATGTGTATTTTCATAGGTCAAAGTATTCAGGCTCCTATACTAACTGGAATTGTATATAAACCTACTTGATGATCAAGAGTCAGCAACTGGGAAACATTAGTTTTAAAATATAGATAAAAACCTTTATGTATTTTTCCTCTTTTCATTGTGTATACTATTGCATAAACTTACATTAAAATTTTAAGATTAAAAGATGAAAGTGAAAAAAAAAAGAACACACTGGAAAGAATTAAAATTAGATTTGATGAAGCAGAGAATCAAATCAGCAATTTGGAAGACAAGGTCAAAATAAATACCCAATTAGAGCAGCAAATAAAAAATTAAAAAGTCGGAAGAGAGCTTAAGAGAGCTCTGGGACAATATTAAAGGTAACAATATCCACAGGATAGGAATACCAGAAGGCAAGAAGGTGAGCAAGGAACAGAGAGCCTGTTTAAAGAAATAATGAGAGAAAACTTCCCTAACCTGGTGAAGGAAAATGTCACACAAGTTCAGGAGGCACAGAGTCCCAATCAAGATGAACCCAAGGAGACCCACACGTAGACACATCATAATTAAAATGGCAAATGTTAAAGACAAAGAAAGAATCTTAAAGGCAACAAGAGAGACAGAAAATTGCCTACAAATGAGTTCCCATTAGAATGTCAGCTGATTTCTCAATAGAAACTCACTTCAGGCCAGAAGGGAGTGGCATAAAGTATTCAAAGTAATGAAAAGCAAGGGCCTAAATCCAAGACTCTGTATCCAGCAAGGCTATCATTTAAAATTGAAGGTAAAATGAAAATTTTCCAGACAAAAAAAGGTTAAAGGAGTACATTACCACCAAACCAGCAATGCAAGAAATGTTAAAGGGAATGCTTTAAGAGGAAGAAGAAAAGAACAGAGAGTAGATCATAAGCATAAAGAAACTAAAAATAGCAATAAGTAAAGACCTGTCAAAAATAACCTTAAATGTAAATGGATTAAATACTTCAGTCCAAAGACATAGGGTGACTGAGTGGAAAAGAAAACATGACCCATATATATGGTCTCTATAAGAGATCCAACTCAGAACAAAAGATACACACAGATTGAGAGTGAAGGAATGGAAAAATATATTCCATGCAAATGGAAAAGGAAAAAAAAGCTGGGGTAGCAATCTATATATATAAAAGGCTAATATGTTAAGTGTCCCTCCTACCATCCAACTGGTTGCTATGACATGCACTGACCACCAGGAGCCAGATGCTCAACACAGGAGCTGCCGAGCTGCAGTGACTTGGCAGTGGTGGTTCTCAGGTGATGCACCCCAAAACCAGAGAGGAAGGAGCCCGATTCCTTGTGGGGCCATACGATTCCACCTTCGGCCGTGGGTTATATTGTTACTGGGGCACTGTTGGCCCCGAATCTAGTTTACTGCACACTTGCGTTTGCATTCCACACCCTGTATAACAGCAACTTTGCAGAGTGCCCTCTCGCACTCCAGGACCCGTTGGGGGATGTTGGAGAGCCAGTTTTGGCCCAATCCCCACAGGCTAGGCTGAGGGGCCCCACCTATCGGAGGGACCCCACTCACTCTGCAGATGCCGGGGCGGGACTACAGGAGGTTGGCTCCAGGGCGTGTCTGGCCCTTCTCGCCCAGTCCTGCCCCGCTGGCCACCTTCTAATTAATTTCCTTTCAATGTGCACGAATCTGTGCACCAGGTCACCAGTACTCATATAAGACAAAATAGATTTTAAAATAAAGTCCATAACCAGAGACAAAGAAGGCCATTTCATAATATTAAAGGGAATGATTCAACAAGAAAATATATCCCTTGTAAATATATATGCACCCAATATAGGAGCACCCAAGTACATTAAAAAACTCTAGATGGACTTTAAGGGAGAGATTGAGAACAATACAGTCATACTAGAGGTCTTTAACACCCCACTGACATTAATGGATATATCTTCCAGATAAAAAATCAATAAGGAAACAGAGGCCTCAAATGACACACTAGATCAGATGGATCTAACTGTTATTTACAGAACATTTCACCTCAAAGCAACAGAATATACATTCTTCTCAAGCACACAAGGAACATTCTCAAAGATAGACCACATGTTAGAACACAAAATAAGCCTATACAAATTCAAGAAGATTGACATAATACCATGCATCTTCTCAGATCACAATGGCATGAAGTTAGAAATCAATGACAATAAAAAACAAAACACTCAAATACATGAAGGCTAAATAGCTTGTATTAAACAATGAATGGGTTACCAATGAGATCAAGCAAGAAGTTAAAAACTTCCTGGAAACAAAAGAAAATGAACACACAACCACCCAAAACCTATGCAAAAGGAGTTCTGAGAGGGAAATTGATAGCACTACAGGCCTACCTCAAACAACAAGAAAGAGCACTAACACTCTGTCTGACCCTACAGCTAAATGAATTAGAAAGAGAACTTCCAAAGAAAGTGGAAGGAAGAAAATAATAAACATTAGAGCAGAAATAAATGACATAGAGACTTAAAAACACAGTAGAAAAGATCAATAGAACCAAGAGCTGATTCTTGAAAAGATAAACAAGATTGATGAACCCCTAGCCAGACTCATCAAGAAACAAAGGGAGAGGACCCAAATAAATAAAATCAGAGATGAAAGAAGCAATATAACAACAGACACCACAAAATACAGAGGATTGTAAGAAAATACTATGAATATGCCAACAAACTGTACAACCTGGGTGAAATGGACAAATTTATTGAAACATACAATCTTCCAAAACTCAATCAGGAAGAATCAGAAAACCTGAGTAGACCAATAACAACTGATGAAATTGAAACAGTAATTTTAAAACTCCCAGCAAACAAAAGTCCTGGACTGAATGGATTTACAGGTGAATTTTAGCAAACATTCAAAGAAGAGCTAATTCCTATCCTCCTCAAACTATTCCAAAAAATTCAAGAGGAAGGAACACTCCCAGGCTCTTTTTACAAATCCAGCATTACCCTAATTCCAAAACCAGATAAAGACACTATAAAGAAAGAAAATTACAGGCCAATATCCCTGATGAACACAGATAATAAAATCCTCAACAAAATATTAGCAAATTAGCCGTAGCGGGTTTAGCTTAGTGGATAAAGCATCAGCCTACAGATGGAAGGGTCCCAGGTTTGATTCCTGTCGAGGGCACATGCTTGGGTTGTGGGCTCGGTCCCCAGTAGAGGGCGTGCAGGAGACAGCCAATCAATGATTCTCTCTCATCATTGATGTTTCTATCTCCCTCTCCTTTCCTCTCTGAATTCAATTTAAAAATATTTTTTAAAATATTAGCAAATCGGATCCAGCAATATATTTAAAAGATCATACACCATGATGAAGTGGGATTTATTCCAGGGATGCAAGGCTGATACAATATTCACAAATCAATAAATGTGATACATCACATAAACAAATTGAAATATAAAAACCACATGATCATATCAATAGATGCAGAAAAAGCACTCGACAAAATCCAGCACCCCCCTTTTTTTTTCTTATATTTCAAACGGACAACAAATTAGTATCACTTACAGCATCTTAAGATAAACTGCCTTTGAACGGGAGCTTCCTTTCCAGTACTTTGATGTCTACAAGACGTATCTAGAAAGATTACTACTGTGGAAAATGAAGACTGCTTAAATCAAATGGGGGAGGGGTGGGCCTGTGGTTTTCTTTTTGGTTAGTTGCTGTAACACTGCCCTTCAGGAGGCTGAGGGAGTGATATATTATCACTAGTCAGCATTAGATGCCGAAGCTCGTGCAGGACATGTTTGATACCATATGAACGATGCCATTTCTCTAGCACTAATACGGCCCTTGGGTCCACCACTCCATTAGAACTATTAACTCCATTCATATTAATTTTTGTTACAAATCCTACAACGGGGGGTTCTTCAGGGTATTTAGGTCCACATTCTATTTTAAGGCTGTACATTTGGTTTTCATAAACTGTTCTTGGAGGCCCAATTATTATCCCTGTCCATCTTGTAAGTGTCATGTCTTTGTCATCTTCTACACCCCAATTAATTGTTCAATCTCCTCTACCTTTCTGGCCACTTTAAGTTCTTCCAACAGTCGAAAATTGTGAGGGACTTTTACTCCCAAGCCTATGCTGGCTGCATCTTGCGTCACTGTTGCGGCCGGCCTTCACTTGAAGTTTGACCGTTCTGTGGGTTGGACGTTTTTCTGGGCTCAAATCAAGGTATTGGCAGGGCTGTGATGTTTTCCGAAAGTTCTGAAGGCGAGACTATAACAGTTTGAGCTCCTCTTAGTTTCTGTTGCTCTCCCAACACCCTTTTTTGATAAAAGCTCTCACTAAAGTAGGAATAGAGAGATCATACCTCAAGATATGACATATACCCAAAATAATACTCAATGGGCAAAAACTAAACATGTTTCCCTTACGAACAGGAACAAGACAAGGATGTCTGCTTTCACCATTCTTATTCAACATAGTACTGGAAGTCCTAGCCACAGCAATCAGACAAGAAGAAGTAATAAAAGGTACCCAAATTGGCTTATCGCAACATGGCAGCCAGCAGAATGGCAGTGAGGAAAAGAGTGTGAGTAAAAGAGTGCAAGGAGAGAGTGTGGACATGTGTGGTGTGTGTGGGGGTGAGTGAGGGACAGTTAGATTTTGCAGAAGTCTTGGGGACTGGTGGATCAGGCTCTCCTGGACAGGGAGCCGCTGCTATTGCCATAGGCACTCCCAGGCTGGGCATGGCTCTGGCACAGAGACCATGCCATCTCAAAAGGGGGAGCAGCAGAGGCTAAGAGTGCAGCCAAACCAACACCCAGACTGGCCTGGGACACCACCCCCAAACCTGCGCAGTGAGCTGCTCATCAGCCATAATTTGGAAGGGACCTCCACTGCACCCCCTCAGTGAGTGCCACACTACCTCACTGCAGGCTCCCAGATGTGCATGGTGAGTGCCCAGAGAGACCTCCTGCACCACCACCCCCCCCCAGGCCCCAGGACCTGCGTGCTGTGAGTGCTTGCCAGAGGCACCTCACACAACACCCTACCCAGACCCCAGAGCTGCACTACAAGTGCATGCCAGAGGCACCTCGGCACCACCCTGCCACAGGCGCTGGAGCTACACAGTGAACTGCATGCCAGAGGGCTCTGGGACCTCACAAGGAGTTGCATACCAAAGGAACTGTGCAAGTGCCCCGCCAACCCTGAGCATCTACAGCGGACACCTGAGGGACAAGATCTGTGGGGAAAGGGAGAACAACTCAGAGTAGAGACAATAAAGGTGTGAGACTCAAAGCAGACCCAGCCTCTGGGCTAAGGAGTACCTGACCACTGGGCCACTAGGCACTTCAACCTCTTGGACCTCAATCAGTTGCCCAGGGCCAGAAGAGACAGCAACTCACATTACATAGAAACAAATACAAAAGGACAGCAAAAATGGGGAGACAAAAACAATCCCCAAAGGAAAGAAAAGGGGAAATCACCAGAAAAGGAACTTAATGAAATGGAGGCAAATAATTTGTCAGATAAAGAATTCAGAGTAATGGTTATAGAGAAATAGGGAGAACCAAGATGGCGGCATAGGTTAACGCCAGAGTTTGCTGCTTTGAACAACTACTTCAAAAGTGAAACCAAAAAACGGAAGGGACATCACCCAGAACCACAGGAATGCTGGCTGAGTGGAAGTCCTACAACTAGGAGGAAAGAGAAACGCATACGGACACTCAGAGGAGGCGCAGTGCTGAAGTCAAATTCTGAGGTGCGGAGTGCGCGGAGCGGGCTGGCGGCGGAGGGCGTGGTTGGCGTTTTCAATCGGGAGGGAGTCGCAGACTCTGAGCTCCAGATACAGGCGAGTCTTTAGGGACCCAGACTCAAACGGGAGAAGCGGGACTGTCTGACTTCGGTCAGAGCGAGTGCAGCTTTCTCTCCGAGCTTTGCAGCGGGTGCTGGGACTCAGAGAGGCAGAGCCCCTGGGGACAGGACTGAGAGCCGCCATAACTGCTCTCTCCGGCCCACTCTGTTGATCCTGTGCGACCCATCCCACCCAAGCCCTGCACAGAGGCATTTGCCAGATAGCCTCAGGCAAAGGCTAGATTAGCACCTCCCTAGAGGACAGAAGTTCTCTCACTGCTGACACAGCTGATTCTCATAGCCACTTGGCCTGGAGGTCAAACCCTCCCTGGAATTAGCTACAACAATCAAGATTTAACTATAAGACTGCGAACAAAGACCACTAGGGGTTGCACCAAGGAAGCATAACAAAATGCGGAGACAAAGAAACAGGACAAAATTGTCAATGGAAGATATAGAGTTCAGAACCACACTTTTAAGGTCTCTCAAGAACTGTTTAGAAGCCGCCGATAAACTTAATGAGATCTACAAGAAAACTAATGAGACCCTCGATCTTATATTGGGGAACCAACTAGAAATTAAGCATACACGGACTGAAATAACGAATATTATACAGACTCCCGACAGCAGACCAGAGGAGCACAAGAATCAAGTCAATGATTTGAAATGCGAGGAAGAAAAAAACACCCAACCGGAAAAGCAAAATGAAAAAAGAATCCAAAAATGCGAGGATAGTGTAAGGAGCCTCTGGGACAGCTTCAAGCATACCAACATCAGAATTATAGGGGTGCCAGAAGATGAGAGAGAGCAAGATATTGAAAACCTATTTGAAGAAATAATGACAGAAAACTTCCCCCACCTGGTGCAAGAAATGGACTTACAGGTCCAAGAAGCGCGGAGAACCCCAAACAAAAGGAATCCAAAGAGGACCACACCAAGACACATCATAATTAAAATGCCAAGAGCAAAAGATAAAGAGAGAATCTTAAAAACAGCAAGAGAAAGAAACTCAGTTACCTACAAGGGAATACCCATATGACTGTCAGCTGATTTCTCAACAGAAACTTTGCAGGCCAGAAGGGAGTGGCAAGAAATATTCAAAGTGATGAATACCAAGAACCTACAACCAAGATTACTTTATCCAGCAAAGCTATCATTCAGAATTGAAGGTCAGATAAAGAGCTTCACAGATAAGGAAAAGCTAAAGGAGTTCATCACCACCAAACCAGGATTATATGAAATGCTGAAAGGTATCCTTTAAGAAGAGGAAGAGGAAGAAAAAGGTAAAGATACAATTTATGAACAACAAATATGCATCTATCAACAAGTGAATCTAAGAATCAAGTGAATAAATAATCTGATGAACAGAATGAACTGTCGATTATAATAGAATCAGGGACATAGAAAGGGAATGGACTGACTATTCCTGGGGGGGAAAGGGGTGTGGGAGATGCGGGAAGAGACTGGACAAAAATCGTGCACCTATGGATGAGGACAGTGGGTGGGGAGTGAGGGCGAAGGGTGGGGCGGGAACTGGGAGGAGGGGAGTTATGGGGGGGAAAAAAAGAGGAACAAATGTAATAATCTGAACAATAAAGATTTAATTAAAAAAAAAAGAATTCAGAGTAATGGTTATAAAGATGCTTAAACATCTGACAGAATTACAAGCAGCTCAATGAGAATTATAAGAAGCTGAATGAGAAATTCACCAACATGGATAAGAATCAAGAGGAAATGAAGAAGAAAAAAAACACGAGGAAATGAAGAATGACATAGCTCCAATAAAGAACACCCTAGCAGGTTTCAACAGTAGACTAGAAGAAGATGAGGACCAAATCAGCGAGTTAGAAGACAGGGTAGGAAAATAACACCCAGCCCTGGCTGGTTTGGCTCAGTAGATGAAGCTTCAGCCTGAAGACTGAGCGGTCTTTCTTGGGTTCGATTCCAGTCAAGGGCACATGCCTCGGTTATGGGCTCAATCCCCAGTAGGGGGCATGCAGGAGGCAGCCAATCAATGATTCTCTCTCATCATTGATGTTTCTCTCTCTCTCCTTCTCCCTTCCTCTCTGAAATCAATAAAAATGTATTTTAAAAAAAGAAAGAAAAATAACACCCAATCTGAACAGCAATTGGAAAAAAAAGGAGGGGGGTAGGCAGAGAGCTTAAAGGAGCTTTGGGGCAACATGAAAGGGGTGCCAGAAGGAGAAGAAGCTGAGCGAGGAATAGAAAACCTGTTTGAAGAAATAATGACAGAAAACTTCCCTGACGTGGGGAAGAAAAAAGGTCACACAAGTCCAAGAAGCACAGAGTCTCAAACAAGATGAATCCAAAAAGACTCACACCAAGACACATCATAATTAAAATGGTGTCAAAGACAAAGAATCTAAAGGACTGCAAGAGATAGAAAGTTACCTACAAGGGATCTCCCATTAGAATATCAAATGATTTCTCAACAGAAATGCATCAGGCCAGAATGGAATGGAATGAAATATACAAAGTTGTCTCACAGCCAGTTGGCCTGGAGGTCAAATCCCCCCCAGTGTTACCTACAACAATCAAGGCTTAACTACAACAAGACAGCACACAAAGACCACTAGGGGGTGCACCAAAAAGGCATAAAAAATGCAGAGACAAAGAAACAGGACAGAAATGGAGGAAGGCAAAATGCTGGATATAGAGCTCAAAACCACACTTTTAAGGTCTCTCAAGAACTGTCTAGAAGCCGCCGATAAATTTAGTAAGGCCCTCGAAAAGACTGGTGAGACCGCCGATAAATTTAGTAAGGCCCTCGAAAAGACTGATGAGACCGCCGATAAATATAGTGAGATCTTCAAGAAATGTAATGAGAGCCTCGATGTTGTGATAAAGGACCAACTAGAAATTAAGCATACACTGACTGAAATAAAGAATATTATACAGACTCCCAACAGCAGACCAGAGGAGCGCAAGAATCAAGTCAAAGATTCGAAATGCGAAGAAGCAAAAAACACCCAACCAGAAAAGCAAAATGAAAAAAGAATCCAAAAATACGAAGATAGTGTAAGGAGCGGAGCCTCTGGGACAGCTTCAAGCGTACCAACATCCGAATTATAGGGGTGCCAGAAGAAGAGAGAGAGCAAGATATTGAAAACCTATTTGAAGAAATAATGACAGAAAACTTCCCCTACCTGGTGAAAGAAATAGACTTACAAGTCCAGGAAGTGCAGAGAACCACAAACAAAAGGAATCCAAAGAGGACCACACCAAGACACATCATAATTAAAATGCCAAGAGCAAAAGACAAAGAGAAAATCCTAAAAGCAGCAAGAGAAAGAAACTCAGTTACCTACAAGGGAGTACCCATACGACTTTCAGCTGATTTCTCAACAGAAACTTTGCAGGCCAGAAGGGAGTGGCAAGAAATATTCAAAGTGATGAATGCCAAGAACCTACAACCAAGATTACTTTATCCAGCAAAGTATTGGATAGAATTGAAGGTCAGATAAAGAGCTTCAGAGATAAGGAAAAGCTAAAGGAGTTCATCACCACCAAACCAGGATTATATGAAATGCTGAAAGGTATCCTTTAAGAAGAGGAAGAAGAAGAAAAAGGTAAAGATACAAATTATGAACAACAAATACGCATCTATCAACAAGTGAATCTAAGAATTAAGTGAATAAATAATCTGATGAACAAAAAAAAAAAAAGAAAAGAAATATACAAAGTCATGAAAAGCAAGGGACTGAATCCAAAAATACTCTATCCAGCAAGGCTATCATTCAAAATTGAAGGTGAGATCAGGAGCTTCACAGACAAAAACAGGCTAAGAGAGTTTACCACCAAACCAGCAATGCAAGAAATGCTAAAGGGAGTGGTGTAAGAAGAAGGAATAGAAAGAGAGGGAGAAACGCAGACATAAAGAATAAAAATGGGGTGGGTGTGGGCTGTGGTTTCCCCAGGGCGGCTGCGGCCCTGCAGGGAGAGATGGAGACCCTGAAAGACAAGACCCTGGAGG